AGGTCCGGGATGGTGATGCCTCCAAGGGTTGCTTTAATAGATTCTTTTTTTTTAATGACAATGAGACATGTCTGCTCCTAGCAGCACCAATCTACATCAGAGAAGATGATGAATATTGAAGAAACTCCTTATGGAGTTTATTTTCTTTGTGACAAGTTAGCCACTGGGCAAGAAAACGCCCTTTCCTGAATTGCTGACAGTATGCTGTCCAAAATGGACAAGCAGGACACAAAAGAAAGGACTGCCGAACCTTGTCAAGACAAGGTAGGAAGGCCCTTCAGAAAACCCTGCCTCACAGATGAGTCTGTCAGATATGCTAAGCCTGTAGGCTGAAGATGGATGCCCCAACATTGCAGAGGAACCTTGGGTAACTGTCCAGGCAGCCAGCTGTTTCTGTCATTTCTCACATTTTTTTTTGGAAGTTGCTTGTTTGCACTTCCTGCTTACTTAGTTAATATTATTTCCTTCTCAGGTCTCTGAGGGAGTTAAAGACTAGATAGTTATAGTTTTCCTTGTTAACAAATTCAGAAAAGAAACTCACTACAGAGGTATAAAGTGTTTAAGTTTGAAAGACATCAAATATAGTTTTCAGTTGGTAATACAAGTTAGGATAGAAAGTGAATTAGGTACATTTTGGACTCACCAAGATAGGATAGATAATGGAGCTTTTGTCTGAATTTGTCAAATGTCAATGGATATTGTTAATGTAATTCTTGACTATATATTATACATACTTACTATACTTATAATATATAGTTTTTTCTTATATTAGTTGTAACCTTATTTTATTCTTTTAGACAAAAAAAGGAGAAATGTGGTGATATATTGTATACCCTAATAAACTTGCCTGAGAATCAGAGGACAGAGCCAGCCACTAGATTAGATACAGAGGTCAGGCAATGGTGACACACCCCTTTAATCCCAGCACTTGAGATCTCATGCCTTTGCTTGGGAAGCACACATGCCTTTAATTCCAGGAATTTCTCTGCCCCAGGCAGGGCAGAGAAAGGTATATAAGGCGTGAGGAAACAGGAACTCACTCTCTTTAGGTTGAGGATTTCATAGAGGTAAGAACTAGCGGCTGACTGTTCTGCTTCTCTGATATTTCTGCTTTCACCCTGATATCTGGCTCTGGGTTTTTTAATTAAAAGACCATCTAAGATTCGAACAGCACTCCCTGCCCTCAGTCCCCTAGTCCAAGACTATGAGCTCTGTGATGTTGTTCTGGCTTGTCACTAGTGATGCCCCTGGCAAGGGCTTGGGGTAAGTTTGGCAAGGGCCTGGCAAGGACACAGTGGTGAGGAAAGCTTGCTGAATTCATAAGCAGGGACCAAATTTCATATCCTGTCTTTAGGACATGATTCTAGAGAGCAAAAGATGAGGCAGAAGTCTCCTCTGGCCCTGGGAATCAGGCGATGAACCAAGGAAGGACAGAATCACAGGACAGGTGTACACACCAAGAGTACTAAGTGCCATGTGTCCCCATGGTGTAGAAACCATGCTCCCTTTGAGATAAGAGCCTTTCTAAGACATGTTGGGGGTAAAGAAGGTGGGTCCTGATAAGAACAGTGCTGAGCTGGGACCATGGGACGCCATGCCATGTGGGGTAATCTTACTCAACCAGGTTTCAGAAGGGAAGTAGACACAGAGGGGTGGGTGCAGAGCTAATGGAAGTCTCCCACTTGATATCCCTTCAGACACTAAGCTGAGTGGACTGGAAACTGCCTCACTGCAGCCACGCACTACCTCAAAAACAAAGGTGGATGACCACTTCATATCCGCGGAAGAATGCCTGAGACTCTTCCCCAAGAAGCAGAAGGAGTTGTTCTCGGTAACATGTGATCCTCTATATCATAGCTTCTCTAAGGCTCCACCCTGCTCCCCACCCCACAGCTCACATATGTGTGAGTTCTGGTATCCAGTCAGGCCCAGCAGCTCCAGGCGACACACAGAGACAGGGACTGGCCTGGGGTGGAGTGGGGAGCCTAACCTTGGGGCCCCAACCCTGCTGAAATGCCTAGTCAACACTGATGGTAGAAAAAAGGAACCCCTCTTTTCAGGGGGTGTGGCCACCCATGGGACAGTGGACTCAGGATCCTATACACACCTGCTTGCACTTATTCACTCACCAAACAAATGTTGCGTGCTCACTGCATGCGGAGTCTACACTGAATGTTTGAGTACCCTGCCTGGAGTCTTCTCTTTGTCCAAGACACAGACAGTGAGTAGCAACTCATAGACACTGTGGCTGGCTGCTGAGGGGGTTTTGGTTGAGTACTGTGGGACAACAAGGCAGAGCCCTTTAAGGTGGACTACCCAGAGGAGGAAGGGGCCCCTGCGCCAACTCTGAAGCCCAAATCAAATGCTTGCTTATCTTCCACCTGATCACCTGGCTGGCAAGGACAGTTGTGCCAGCATGCCAGTGGCTGCATGGTCTCTGCAGGTCCAGGCTTGTGCACCAGCACCCCGTTCCTTTAGTGGGCAGAATGAAGCAGGCCCGCAGGAAGAGGGCATGGTACCTGTCTACGCTCCGTTTTCCACCGCACAGTCTGCAGCTAACCTTGCAGGGTGCTCCATCCACACGTGGCTCTACTCAGTCACCGGCTTCACCCTGGCTGCTCACTCTGGTTCTGCTCTGGCATGGCCCCCATCTCACTCGTACCTTCTGTCCCTTTCCTGGGCAGCCCCTCCTCTCCTTTGGGACAGCTTTGGCCACCTCATCTTCCTGTCACCCTTAGGCCCTCGCATGAGCCCCATGGATCTGCTGGCCCTCAGGGCACTGAGCCCGCATGCCATTAGAAGCAGCTTGATCCAGGATCCCTATCATTCCTTCACCACAGTACCCCAAGTGGCTGCCACCTGCTTGCCATACAGGGTGATCAGTGCTTAGTTGGTGATTAAGTGAGGCTTTACGTCACGTGCCAGGTGGAGAACACATGTGCTTATTTTCGTCTCCACCCACCCAATCCAGTGCATGCTGAGGAAACTGATGGTCAGAGATGGAGAGAAATTTACCCCAAGCCCAATACCTATTGAAGGCCATAGCCAGGAACTGAAGTACCTCTGTTCAGGTGCCAGGCCTGTGTGCTGATACTTGGGGTTGTTGTGCTGGGGAGGGGTCATGCAGAGATGAGGAGTGACTGAAGTTTGTAAACTTGGGAGGATTGATTATAGGAACCGGGACCTCCATTGTGCCTGTGGCACCGCACTGAAGGCTGGTGGGACCCTGGTCTCACCCCAGCTGCTGTGCTGTGCATCACATTGGAGTGCTATTACTTGCCTCCTGTCTTTCCTCCCCGGCACTGTGAGAGGGACATATGTCAAGGGCTGTGTTTTGGCTGCACCCAGAGGAGAGTTAGCATCTGACAGGTACCCAGAGCATACTCTTAGCCTCATTTATCCAACCAGCTTTATCATCTATGACTGTGGGGCATTGCTCTGGGAGCTGGGGCTCCAGCCGGACAGATGGGAGCACACGTCTTGTGCTCACAAGTCATCCTGCAGGCAGAGGCAAGGGGCGAGACAGAAACAGACTTCGCAGGCACTGTGACTATGGAGGAAGGGCTCACCAGCATGGCCCGAGGCAGCCTTGGGTGTCAACGAGCAGCAGGGGGAAGGTGGGAAGGGATGAGGTTCATAAGTTGGGCTCTCTATAAGGGAGACACAGAACACAGGGGATGGACAGCATAGGGCTCAGGGATAGCCTGGTGTAGATGAGAAAGTAGCCACGATTCTGTCAGATTCCCGGGGGCCCAGGGCTGTAGGTGGGATTGAGGCAGTTAGGCGTGAAGGGTAGGTTCCAGGTTCAGAGAGCAAGTGGAATGGAACACATTCTTGAGACATGAAAGGGAGGACTTGGGACTCTGAGTATGTGGTCTGAGCAATTACTAAGAACAAGCTACCATCTACGGAGGCGAGAGGCCTGTGAGGGTCAAGCAAGAGGCTTGCCTTTGGCCTTGTTCAGTCTGGACATCTGAGCATCTTGAGTATGGGAAACTCAGAGCCAGACTTAGAGGGAAGCAGTGAACAGATGAGTCTGCAGCCCCACTAAGTACCCCCCCCCTCCGTGACAGAGCCCCTTCTCCTCTGGATGGCAGTGACTCTAAGGCAGAGCCAGAGTCATCTAAACAGTCCCCAAGGTGTTCAGCACAGTGACTGCACATAGTAATGTTTGGTGACTGAATCAGTGAACAAACTCAGCTGGAACTTTCCACCAAATCCCAGAGCCTCTAATTAGACACTGACATGGAACAATCCAAACTCAATGTTCTGAACAACTCCTACTGGGGAGCTGCAGAGTGAGGGGACCAGGGTGGTGCCTCGAAGACCCCAGACAGGTTCCCGAGGGAGAGCTGTGTGAGGGACCCACAGACACAAGGGTACTAAAACCATGCCCACAGCATTGCAAGGCAGAGGTACAAGGCACACTGTGGCCACAATGCAGGTGTTGGTCCAGAAAGAGGCTCATACTTGCTTTCTGACTTTAGGTGACAGACCCAGTGACGAACAGCATTCTAGGGCACTCACTAAACATGCCAAGGGACCGCTAAAGTGTGGCACATTCTTTAGCCACTTTACAGAGGAAGAAACGAAGGATGGCAAGGGCAGATGCCTTGCCCCAAGCCACACTGGTAGTAAGAGGGTGTGACAAGTAGTCTGCTATGGGGTGTACCAGCAGTTAAGTCACAAGTCCCCAGTGACCCTTGGACCTGTTTCTTCATATGCAAAATCCATGGGAATCATGGAGCCTCTGGGCAGCACCATGGACAGAGCAGTGGGCCTGTGCCCCGCCTGCGTTCCAGACAGAGCCCTGGTACATGTGGCTCCTGGGTGTGAAACCTGGCATAGGGTTTGCTGATTGGGAAAGAGAAGTGGCCAGACATTCCAAACACCCCAGGAAGCAGGGAGAGCCTTAAATTCTCTAGGAAGCCCCGCCTACTTTCCTGAGTCCACATACAGGTACAGAACCTGCAGCTGTCCCAAGCTGGCCACACTCTCCAACTCCTCCAAGTTGCCCACTCCCGGGAGAGGCATCCAAGGCCAGGAAGCCAGGAGTAGTGGGGTCCCCAGGAGCCACCGTGGGAACCCGTGTCTTTGCAGGGGGGGTGGCTTTGAGTGGTGAGTAGGTATGGAAGGGAAGTGTGTTGACGTGTGCGTTTTGTTTCTAGGACCCCTACTCTGCCTTCTTTAAAATAGACACTGACAGGGATGGCATAATCAACATGCATGATCTTCACAGATTGCTCCAGCAGCTACAGCTCAACATGAAGGACAGCGAGTTTGAGCGCTTCCTCTGCCTCCTGGGCTTGAGACTTAGTGTCACTCTAAACTTCCGAGAGTTTCAGAACCTCTGTGAGAACAGACCCTGGAAAGCAGACGAGGCACCTCAAAGGCAAATTAGGTAAGAAGGTGGTGTGCTCAGAGCCGTCGGTGTGTGCCAGCCTCTCCACCTGGAAGGCCAGCGGTTCTGCTGCAGCCACAGTGGAACACAAAAATGACCCTGGAGCCATCTTTTTTTTCCCCTGAGTTTAAGAACACACACACACACACACACACACACACACACACACACACACACACATGCACGCATGCACTCACGCACGCACATGCACACATGCGCATGCACACACACACTGCATGGTAGGAGGAACAATTCAGAGAAGACATGCAAGTTTTTACCATGGGGCGTGGCTTCATAGCTCACTGCTTATTGTTCCAGGCTTTTTCTCATCAATGTAAATGCATACATGTACTTATTTGTCCATTTCTCTGCCTTGAGTTAGATGTGTACTTTCTACTCAGCCTCTCAAGTCTGAAACATTGGCAACCCCTGGACACACTCCATCATCTGAGACCACTGCAGGGTAGCTGAGGGCTTCACAGGAATAAGGCTCAAGTGCCCCTGGTCAAATAAATGCATGAACTGACACATAAATGGATGCCCCGTCTCCTCCTCAGCTTCAGATATCCATCCAGGCCAAATGTGACAGTTTAGGGATGCACAGAGCCATCCATGACAGTTTCTCGGGAGATGCAGGGACCTCCTTCCAGCCTGTCCTGGACAGTGGTACCTACATCCCGGCCTGACCCACAAGGCTTCACTCTGTCCAGAAGGAGAGTCTTGGTGCCCACTCACGCTTCCCTGTCTGAGTGAGTGTGGCTACCGGCTAAGGGATACCTGTCATAGAAGCATCCAATGACATCTGTATAAATCTGATGTCAAGCAGAGTACCTGGTCTGTCCTTGACAATCACTGCATCATCTTTTTAAAGCACGTGTGTGTTCATGTCTATGTACATATGGGCGTGTGTGTGTGTGTGTGTGTGTGTATGCATGTGTGCACATGTGTGTGGAGGTCAGAGATCAGCCTCAGAGGTCAACCTCAGGATGTTCCTGGGGAGCCATCCACCTTCTCTTTGAGATGGTGTGTCTCCCTGAACTCTGGGGCTCACTTCTAAGCTCGACTGTCTGGTCATTGAGCCCCAGAAATCCTCCTGTCTCCACCTTCCTAGCATTCGGTCACAAGCATGTACCACCATAGCTTTTTGCGTGGGTGCTGAGGCTCAAACTTGGGTCCTCACACTTATAAGGCAAGTCCTTACAGATGGAGACATCATCCCAGCGCATTACTCTTGACACATTGAGGGGGACTTCTGTCACCAGGTGCTAAAGGGCTGCAAACCACCAACCATACCTTCTGTCTAGGTGTGTGGAGCTGCCAGAGGTATGGCCCTGTACCAAACCCTGGTAATATTTGGAAAAGCTGCAGAAGACCTTTGACCATGTACTTGGTTTAATTCCCTGTGAATTTCTGGGTTTTATTGTAATTATTACTGGGGAGCAGGAAGCAAGAATATGACTGTAATCCCTTCCTAAGCAAAATGATCACACGACAATGTGAGCGGAATGCCTACATTCCTCACTCAGGTTCTAGAGGTGTTCATGTGAGATTTGATTGCTTAATATTGAAATGGAACCAAAACAGTCCTGCCAGGGAGAAAGGAGACGGCTCCGCTGTTAGGAGAATTTGCTGCTCACAGGGAGGACCTGAGTTTGGCTCCTAGGCTCACAACCACCTACAACTCCAGCTCCAGGGGATCCTGTACCTTCTTCTGGTCTCCATGGGGCATCCGTATTTACATGCATGTATCCACTCACAGACACACAGACACACACAGGCACACACACACACACACATACACGTACACACACACAATTAAGAATAAAGCTTGAGTGGCTGGAGAGATTAAGAGCCTGTTGCAGAGGACCTGATTTTGATTGTCAGTACCCACATTAGGTACCTCACAATCTCCAGGGAGATGTGGCATCTCTGGCCTCCTTGAGCATCAGTACTCACATGCACTTAACACAGACATATGCATGCTCACACGGATGTATAATTTAAAATAACAATAGTAATAATAATAATAATAATAATAAATACTGCTGAAGAGTATTTTGGAGAATGTTTGCAGAGTGAGTATAGAAAATGTCAACACACAGCACAGACTTAGCTGTCTAGTGATTTGTCTTGTTCACATCTGTTCACTTGTTGGATATTTGCAAAGGACCAGCTCAGTGCTGGGCACTGTTCTGGCCCTCAGGGGTGCAAATGTGAACAGGGCTCAAGGCTGCACCAGGAGCTCAGGATGGAAGCCGAGAGGGATACAGAAGTAAAGGGCCACACTGGAGCGCAAGGAGGGCAGAGACGGGTGTCCAGAAGAAGTGGGTACACTTGACTGGGCCTTGAAATGTGAGGAGGAACCTTTCAGTTGCTAGAAGGTTGTTCAAGGCCAGAGGACAGCATTGGCAGAAATCACAGAGCCGAGGTGCCGGGCACCTTCAGAAGATGCTGGTGGAGGCATGGCCACACAGTGGGACATGGCGGGGAGGAGTCGGGGGTCCATGCACGAGGCGGTTCCCCCTTCCCAGCAGCTAGGTAGGTTTCCATGCTGTGGGATGAAGGAATCAGATTTCCTTCTAGAGAGATCCTTCAGCAGCCCCAGAGTAGAGGATGGACCAGGGATTAGAGGCTGGATCCTAGTGGCACAGGACCAGGAGTCTGGGAGAGACAGATCTGAGACCAGAAGCAAGACCTGGCTTTAGAGTGCTGTCCCAGACAGACCCAGTGCTGTGCTTCAGGAGACCCCGTGGGCCCGGTCAGGAGGCATTCCTGTCTAGTCTTAGCGGGGAGGGACCTGGGTCTCAGAGAAGAGTTGGTGATGTGTTCCTAAGACCCCAAGGAGTGGTGGAAGGCAGGGAGGAGCACTGGTATCTCCACAAAGTCACCCGTTTCTAGAAACCCCCGTCCCTTGGTTGGGACCCCTGTGCTACAGACCTCTACTGCCCCATTTGAGAGTCTGCTGCTCTGTGAAAGAGAGGATGGCCTCTTGTTTGCTTCATAGCGCCAAGCACGGTCTCTCCCTTGTGGATACCCACTGGGATGGCTTGGCCCAGGGACCTCTCTCCCACTCAGCAGCCCTGGTCATCTCGCCACTCACCGCCACACAAGTGTATGCACTGTCATGGGTCCTTGTCACAAAGATAGACTGTACAGATTCTTGTCATGGAACGCTGTGCCGCCAAGTCTTTCCTGCTGGATGACCAACACAGAGAGCTGCCAGGTCTCCATGTGTCCTGGAAGATGCCATTCACTGTGTGTGTCCTTCCGCTCCTGTGAGCTGTGCCTCCCGTGGGGCTGTTCTACCTCTGACTCTCCCATGGCACTGAAGCCCCTTCCTATCTCACGGCTCATCCCCAGGCATCTGAGAACTGTGCATAAACTCTAACCCCACCCTCCAGAGGGGCGGCAGAGAACTCTTAAAGGCGCAGTGGAACCCTGGGCTCTGCAGTGAGGAACTATAAGGACAAGTTCACGGGGTTCCTGTCAGCACCCCCTCCGGCCAGGGAGATTCAGTCAGCTTTCTCCTTATTACGGCCTTTTCTTTCTTCTTAAGATATTTGTTTCTGTGTATGTGTGTGCGCGGGTGGGCTTCATGTATCTAGTAGGTATTACGTGTGTATGGGTTCCCATGGAGGACAGGAGGGTGTTGGGTCCTCTGAAGCGGGAATTACAGGCAGTTGTAAGCTGCCTGATATGGGTGCTGGGAATCCCCCCTTCCTCTCCCATCTGTTTCTTTACTTAGAACTTGCATGCACCCAGCCCTCTTGAAGGCTAGCCCTTCTCCCCTGGGCAAGCCTTTGGGCTGCCGCAGCCACCGTTGGCGCTCATGGGTTTCAGCGTTGTGCTCACTGGTGCATCTTTTACCTTCACAGTCTTTGAGGTTTTCTTGTTTGTTGGTTAATAACGGAACGGTGAGTCGTGTCCTGGGCGTTTGCAGTATTGCACCATGATACCCTGGGCCTTTTAGAACCCTCTGTGGCATGCTGACTGGTCGGCCTGCCTCAGTAGGCAGCTGACACTTGTCTCTTTAGCCTGAGGGTCCTGACCTTTCTCCTGGGGCTCCCGGATCCATCCAGCTATACAAGCCATGACAGTACTCCTTCAGGGACACTGTGGCTCACCCCAGGCCCAGGCCCAGCAGCAGCAGCTGGGCCACCAGCTAACATCGGAGACCGATCTGGACTTCTGCCACAGATGTGAGGCCTTCCCCCAGCTCTCTCCCGTCTCTGACTCCACCCATAACTCCTGACTAGAAAATCTTAGGGTTGAGCCTGGTGGTGGTCATGTAGTTGTGCCTCTCTTACATCTGACTTTAGGGTAACATGAGGAAAGAGGGGGAGACAGGGGAAGGCGACAGGGATGGCGTCTAGGACTCTCAAGGCCCAGGGGCTCCCTGAACCTTCACCCTGCTTGTGAGCTGTTCCCTGGCCCCCCGCTTAAGCCTTCCCTCCATTTCTGGAGACACTCGTCTCTGAGGTAATCTGATTACTTTTGCCTGGCATTAAGTCGCAGTGTCTGCTCCTCGAGGATGTAGACTCGTAGTCATGCGCTGCAGGTGCTGGGCCTCTAAGTGTTGACTGTGGCTGACCAGAGGAAGGCTAGCCTGCCAACTGTCAGAACCTAAGGGGTCAAGGAACAAGAAAGGAATGAGGCATTGCTGGCGGAGGCCCAGAGCCTAGAAAAGAAGCAGGGTTGTGTGCAGGCTGCTTGGCTAATATTAGGGTGTGGATGTGGCTGAGGGAGCCTGTGCACCGGAGTCCTGGAGCACCTCTAGGGAGGTCCAGGAAAGTCCTCTGTGAACGGGTGGGATTAAGAGTCTAATGGAGACAGCAGCGACTGTCCCTAAGCAATCTGTGCCCATAATGGTTGGCATGTTTATGTCTTCCTATGCTGCCACAATCTATCAACGGTCCCAAGTTCACAAGCTGCCTCCGTTTTACCAAGTAATTCCTCGTTTCCTTCGATTCCTGTGGCCATTGGTGATGCAAGATCTTGTCATCCATTTGATTTTCATGTGGGTTTCGGTTTTCTTTTCTTGAGACAGGGTCTCTTTGTATGGTCCACGCTGGCCTGAGAACTCCCACAATGTTCCTAGCTTCACTCCTGAGAGCAGAGACGTACACCGCCACGCCCATCTTATCTCCCAGTTCTGGTGACTCTCAGGCCCCACTCATCCATCTGTCCAGGCTGCAAAGCATCTTCAAAGGGGCTAGAGTTCAGAGAGCTGTCCTGGAGGCCAGGATCCCGTGCGGATGCAGGGGAAGTGTCCGTAGGGCACAGATCATGCTGTTATAGCCTCCGCCACAGGGCTGTCCAGGGTACAAAGTTGCCAAGTGAGGGTCAGGATGGCAAGTTGTTCTGATTGACAGTTTGAAGTGAGCCATGTGTCTCCACACGAGCACCTGTACCTTAGCTGGAGCCCAGGAACAGAGGCAGGGTCCACCCCATGACAGCTTTCCAGGTGGCTGCTCCCTGTGCCCGCCCCGTCTCATCTTAAGGCACTCCTTCTTCCATAGGCCCAGGTGAGGGCCTACATCTGGCCGGATGGATAAGCTCATGCGCCTGGCACTTCTGACAGGATCCCACCTATTCACAGGTGCTGTTATTTATTGGCACAGATAAATTATTTACCAGTTTGTGGCTCCTGCTGTGCTGGCAGATGGCGGCTGTTTACTTGTGTAAACAAGATGCAGCCTCGCTGCATCTCCATGCTGAAAGTAACTCGGGTCAGAATGCCGCTTTAAAGAGTGGAGACAGAGAGGGCGGGGCTACCAAAAGCTGCTGCCCTGCACAGCGCGGGGTCACCCAGGGAGGCTTCTCAGCGCCTCCCCGGGCTTCCATCCTTCCAAGCCAGCGGAGAAAACATCACAGGATCCTGCCAGCCTTCCCGGGTCCCCCACAGGGGCCACAGTCACAGAGGCTGGGGTGCCCGAGCAGCGGATCCTTTCCCACCCTTGAAGTTCCGTGGTTCTGAGAAGTCCAGTAGGCAGTTGGAGAGAAATGGCGAAGAAGCATGGGTGAGGCCAGACGCTCATGGCATTGCTCTGTGGGTAGAGGGGGCGTAGTCAGGGATACCAGAAGCATTAAGTAGGAAAGGCAAGAAGGGGCCAGAGCAGGAGGCAGATAGGGCAATCAGATAGGCACGGATGCTGGAGGCAGCCACTGCCCAGGCCAGGGATCTCAGTCGTCCACAGTGTCCTGATCTGCTTGGCAGGCAGAACAGCCTAGGCATCCTCCCTCCCTCTTCAGCTACAGCCACCACTGTGCCTCACAGAGGCCTGTCCAGGGCCAGCCGCACAAGATCTTTTTAAGGTCTCTTAAGTGTCCCTCATCTGTAAGTAAATATAAGCTTAATCCTTGAAAATTAGCTGTGGTGGGCATGGGGATATCTCAGCCATTAGGAGCACGTGCCCTGCTCTTGTGGGGGGCCCCAAGTTTAGTTCCCACCACGAAGTCAGGCAGTTCACAACCGCCTGCAGCCCAGCTCCTCCGAGGGCACCCACACTCATGTGTACTTACTGCTCCCCCCATGTATACACATCATATTTAGAAATAATAAACGTAAGTCTTGAAAAGGAAAAGTATCTGGGGCTGGGAGAAGGGACCTCCATGCTTTCTAATTGCACCTCCGCAGACTGGGGTCTGTTCTTCTACCTAGACTTCCAAAATCGGAACTAAAGCTTACTAATTGTTTCCTTCCTAAGACATTTAATGTCATTTTATACTTATATTCTGCTTTCCCAAACCCCCAGAGAGGAAACAGGCCCTGTGGGCTTTGCGTGCTGGGGGAAAAAATGATTTCTCTTAAATCTGAAAATAAAATTTCTGAAGACCCCCTGCCGTGCAGCTGGGAGAAATAATGTGTTGTAAGAACTGTTAGACTGGATGTGAAATCACAGACTTTCGTGGCATCTTTGAAGCACTGAGAGTCGGGGTGGGGGCCCTTGGGAAGATCCTAAGCCCGTCACTTCTGAACACAGTTGTTGATTCTTCTTTTAAGGTATAAACAGAAAGTCGCAGATTCCGAGCTAGCCTGTGAGCAGGCTCACCAGTACCTTATCGTCAAAGCCAAAACCAGATGGGCAGACCTATCCAAGGTAAGGAAGGGGAAGGGAGCCAGAGCAGTGCAGAGAAGGAGAGACGGTGCCAGGTGCCCACCGTGTTGGTTCCTGCCTCTCTTTAAATACTCCCCATCACTCTGAATGGTCTTGGCTTTGTCTCTAACCAAAACACCATCAGTGACTGCGATTATGATGATGTTATTGAGATATTTCTATTACTGTTTGTAATAGAGATGGTATAACTATAGAGACCTAGAACATTCCGCGTCTACTTTTAACAACGAAGGAAAGTGAACTCAAAGGTGGAATTAATTAACAGTTATCAAAGATGCTTAAAGATACAATAAAGGGCTGGTGAGGTGTCTCAGCAGGCAGAGGAACCTGCTGCCAAGTCGGGAAGACCCGAGTTCAATCCCCAGAACCCACATTGTGGAGGGGGAGAACTGACCCCTCCAAGCTGCCCCTTGACCTCCACGCTGTGGAGTGTGCACCTGCGCACAAAGATGTAGAGGGAAGAAGTTGCTCGTGGTGGCATGTGCCTGTCGTTCTAGCATTCTTGAGGCCCAGGTAGTGAGGTCACTGCGAGTTCATGGGCAGACTGAGGCTACAAGGGAGGTCTGTGTCTCAGAAAAACCGAGAGTTCACACTTGTCTTCCCAGCTCTAGGAAGTTGGAGGCAGGGGGATCAGGAATTCAAGGTCAGCCCAGCTGCAGAGTGAGTTTGAAACCAAACTGAGATGCATGAGCAAAGATGGAGAGGGAAAGAGATTACATTTTTGTGGTTTTCAAATGTTTAGTTTGTTTTATTAATCTAAGAGAGCATATTTTTCAAGAATGAATCATTTTAATTTTATGCCCCCGAAGAGCACCAGCCTGAAAACATCACCTAGATGTTTAATAAAAATCTGTATGTTGACAAAGACAACAAACAGCCCCAGAGACACACCACTAGATTTTTCCCAGGTAAACTCTTACCTTCAGGGCCACTGGTGGGAGGAAAGTGTGGAACTCGGGAGTCCGTGGAGAAGTTCCTGATGTTAGCTCCGGCTTGGGGAGGATTTTAAAGTTTAAGGGGAAAATCAACAGGCATCTTTTTTTATTTGTTTGTTTGTTTTTGTTTTGTTTTGTTTTGTTTTTTTTGAGACAGGGTTTCTCTGTGTAGTTTTGGTGCCTTTCCTGGATCTCGCTGGCCTCGAACTCACAGAGATCTGCCTGGCTCTGCCTCCCAAGTGCTGGGATTAAAGGTGTGTGCCACCACTGCCCGGCAGCCAACAGGCATCTTAAGAGCTGTTTTATCCCATCTTGACAAGATGACAGGAGGTGCGTTTCCAAGGCATGTGACCCCCATGAGCAAGCTCATAAGTTGTGGTGTCATGGATATCCAGTGTGACAATGACAGTAACAGCTGAACCACGGGACAACAGGACACAATGGGCAGAGTGGGTTCTCCCCGACTCTAGGATGTGGGGTCACCAAGGACACAGTGACCTCACTCTAGAAAGGAGGGTCACAACTGCATGCTGGAGTGTCTTCCCTCTGCCTTTAAGGGGGACCCTTCCATGTCTGATTGGGTCTTTTACCCTTTTGTGGCTCCTGCCTAATGCAGAGTTCTGCTGGATTCCCTAAAGTCTGGTCTACTTCTCCTCCACACTGTGTCCTTAGAGAGTGGGCTGTGGCCCAGTGAGGCAGGCTACACCCTCCTTCCTCTCCCTCCTCATTGCCAGCCCCCCTCCAAGGTGACAGGCCCACCTCCTCTCCTCTCCCTCATCACTACTGTGACCAAGAGTTGCCCATTTCCACCTGCTGTGGCTGATCTTCCTGGGCAGCTCCTGGGTCCTCATGACCAGGTACAGTTGCCAGCTGTGGGGCTTTTATAGCCGTCCCTTGTCTAGTTAAGGGAGCTCCCTCCTGATCCTAGTTTGCCGAGGGTTATTGTCATCAGTGAGGGTCAGGTTTTATCCTGTACCTCTGCAGCTGTTGAGACGACCAAGTGACTCTTTCCCCTTCTGTCCATGTGGTGGATCACGTTGGAGGATTTTCAAGCATTGAACCCGCCTTGTATGATGAAGCCCAGCTAGCCAGGGCATCCGGTTTCTACCCACGGTTGGTGCAGTTTGCTGGTACACGCTTGCCCTCAGGAGTGATGGATCTGAAGTTGACTTGTCCCATGCCGTCTAAACGCTGGGCTCACAGCGTGAGGGAGGAAGGGTTCTTGTGTCTCCCTGGCCCCTTGGGCTTTCTGCCCTGACAAACGGCACCTGTGTGTCTCCAGCCCCCCCCCCCCCCCCCCCCCCCCTCTAACAGCCAGTGGTGGCTGTTTGCCCAGGTGTTCACACGCTATTGGGAGAGCGCAATGCCTTCCAAGATTCCTGCATGCCAGGCCTATGCTAGAACCCATTGCTGTTAGCTTGGCTATGTTTACGCTGTGACTCTTCTGGGGTGTGGGTATGGAAAAGGCAAATATGTAATTGAAAGAGAATTAAAAAGGAGTCACCATGCAGCCTTCATCTGGATGGAGGAAAAGAATTTTATCTTGGGCCGGCAGACAGCACACTTGTGCAGAGACCAGACAGAACAGATTCTGGGTGTGGAGTCACCGTCCAGCTCTCGCCCGCAGCACCCTGCCCTCACATGGGAGCTTCCCGTTCCAGCAGGGGTAGGATTATCTCCTTCGGTTTCAGTTCACATTTTGTTGCTGATTAATGAGACTGTACATCTTTTCATTAATGGGGCTTTCTGGGAAATGCTTGCTGGGGTCTTTTTTTTTTTTTTTTTTCCTTTTTTCCTTTTTGTGCCCTGCCTTGATCTCGGTGAAGACCTTCTCCCCTTCTCCAGGAATCAACAGTTCAGGTCTTGAAATGCGGAGCAGCTGTGCACTGTGTGGGAGGCATGCCTACCTTCACCTCTTCTGCATGGTGACCAGGTGCCCCTGCATTTCCTTGTCAAGTCCACCTTTACCTCACTGCCCTGTAGCTCCATCTCCATCCTCTCCCCCACCCCCACAGAGCCTTGAACACCTTATCTGACCAGTGACCAGTTTGTCTGTCCTGGTCCCCAGTTCTGCATCTCTCCTGTTGCTTAACTTATGAATGTGTCTTAACACATGTTGGTTGTGGGTAAGATGGAATCCAGGCCCTCGTGTACGGGAGGCAGATGCTCCACTGCTCAGATGTCCTCCAGCCCTTTTGATACATCCTGGCTAGCGAGTAGGCAACTCCATGTTCTTGAAGAGTTTTTTTAAATCATTTTCCAAGTTCCATTAAAATATTCAAGGTTGGGGAGACAGCTCAGCTGATACCCTCTCAACCTGGCAGCCTGTGCCCTTCATCCCAGCACTCAGGAGGCAGAGGCAGGTGACTATCTGAGAGTTCCAGACCAGCCTGGTCTAGGCCAGCCAGGTCTACATAGTAAGACCCTGTCTCAGAAAAAAAAAAAAAAACAACATATAAGACCTGAGTTGGATCCCTAGGACCCACATTTTAAAAAGCCAGGCATGGTGGTCCATGTGTAATCTCATTGCTAGGGGATGCAAGGATCCCTAGGGTTTGCAGTCCTTGCTGGGGCTCAATCAGTGAGCCCCACATCTCAGTCTCAAAAACATAAGGCAGGCAGCACCTGAGGCCTGGCACCCAACCTTAACCTCTGGCCTCTCACACCTCCATACCTACACCCCCACACCTTAGAAACAGAAACGCTAAAACTACACAGAGCAGTACCTCAGAGCATTCCAGAAGCTGTCGACAGCCCTCTCTGCTGCGTGTAACTCAATACCATCTTCTGTTGTAGAATTTCATAGAAACAGATAACGACGGCAATGGCATTCTCCGGCGAAGGGATATCAAGAATGCACTGTATGGCTTTGACATCCCCCTCACCCCAAGGGAATTTGAGAAGCTTTGGCAAAGGTAAGTCCATCTGCAGTGGGGCTGTTCTCATCTGTCTGGCTGTGCAGTTCCTCACCAGGGTCTCAGGGGAAGTGTCCTGCACATCCCTCACCAGGGTCTCAGGGGAAGTGTTCATCCACATCCCTCACCAGGGTCTCAGGGGAAGTGTTCATCCACATCCTTCACCAGGGTCTCAGGGGAAGTGTCCTGCACATCCCTCACCAGGGTCTCAGGGGAAGTGTCCATCCACATCCCTCACCAGGTCTCAGGGGAAGTGTCCATCCCTCACGAGGGTCTCAGGGGAAGTGTCCATCCACA